GTCCGGCAGGGAACACTGGGCGTGGATGGTCGTGGTTGAGGTCCGGCAGGGAACACTGGGCGTGGATGGTCGAGGTTGAGGTCCGGCGGAGGAGGATGAGGAGGAGGAGAAGGAGGATGCGGGGGAGATGGGGCTGACATAAAATCTAACAACCCTCACCTGACAGGTGGGGAAAAAACCAACCATTATCTTTGTGCAAGCAAGTGTTCCGGGAATGTAGTTTTGTCGTCAAGTGCCGCGCGTGGCAGAACTATGCGTTCATTGCCAGCGTTCAGAGACTACGGAACAGAACACCGATGAACGGCTGGCCATCAGAGCTCGTGGAGCCGACTCATCAACCGAGGCAGCCATTTCGGTTTCGCAAGAAGAGGAGTGGGATGATGTGGCGCGTCAAAATGAAGAGCCCTCGAACGTGGATGCGGTTGTAGCCCTTTGTCTGCAAGATGTAGTCAACATTTGGGACGGGCTGGGAGTGCATGCCCCTCCCAACGAATACGTGCCGGAGCTTCGCGTGACAACACTAGTTTGGACTTGCTGTACTGTAACTGTCAATAATTCTACGTGAATTCCATGGAAAAAATATTACCACGTCGTGAGTTTGCGTCTGAGTCTCAATTTATATGCTCAGAGTTGCATTGGTAGAGAGTGTGTAGATGTTTTCGAAGTACAGTGGCATGACAAGGGCATCGTTTGGTGAAACAAAAACAATAGGTGAAGGAGTTTTGTGCTGGTTTGGTGATACTACATGATACTTCTGAATTTCTTTAGATAGAAAGAGAAAGAGAGAGAGAGAGAGAGAGTGACAAACAGACAAACCATGCCAGTTGCCAGCTTAAGGTTGATTCTGACTCTGACCTGGAGAAGGAATGGGAGGAGACCGCTCGTGACGGTGAGACGTGGAGTCATCCATCGAGGGCGTTGTCGAAAAGCGGAAAATCTCAAACCTTTCCCTAAGTCGCTATTAGGATGGAGGCCATCGCGAGTAGGTTGGAGGCCATCACTCTTGGGTTGGAGGCCATCACTCTTAGGTTGGAGGCCATTGCTAGTAGTTACTTAAGCATACTAAAACTACTATATATAGTTGTTTTGTTTGTTTCCCTAAGATGAGTTTTCTTCAAGTCTCGACGTGCGTCCCTTCTCAAAGCAAACATGAGAAAAATGTACGTCGAAATGCTCTGAAGCTCCGAACGCTTGGGTTCCCAGGTTGACATCGTTTTGGTTAACAGTGATTATATAACTTTGCAAGCAGCCCTTTCAGTTCTGCTTTACCCCCCCCCGTTCACTGGAACAAACATCCGTTTAACTTCTTTTGTGACATTGATAGTATACTTACCTTTGTAATTTCCATTTGTTGGGCATCAAAAAGAGCTACGTATACTTGACTGTTGACTATTTGATTTGAGTCAGCATGCTTTTTTTAGTATGCTTTTAATGTCTCGTCCATAGTGCGGCTCCGATCAGCTCACAGAGCGCACGTATGTAGGAGTTGGCCAAGATTGCTAAAGGTTTGTTTTGCTTTCCTTTCTTTGCTTCAGAGCTGAAGCCCACAGTCGTGCTTTACTGTCAGGAGATTGCCCAGAAGACTGAGGAATTGGCCAAGAACGCACGAGAAACACAGGGCGTTGTGGCTGCAGCTTGGCACAAATGGACTGAAGACTGGCGTTTGTACTTTTGCTACAACACTGTAGGCATGGTATGTAGGCCATGGTATGCTTCTTTGACACGTCAAAGGGATCCATAAGGCCCATTTGGTTGATGGGTTTCAGATCTTGGGTCTCAATGCTTGCTTTGACCTGGGGCCGCTTTGGTGCTTGCAAGATTCGAGGCCAAGCAAGACCTGCTGAGCACTCCAATCTCTTACAAAGAGGCCACTCGTTTGACAGTTCCAAGGGTGTATGAGCCCCTTCCATTTCTGTTGGCCATCAGGCCTCCTCGAACTGGGCTGTCAAACATGTTCCTGGAGAACCCTGGTGAAAGCCATTCTCACAGTGTCGCACGGACATTGCAAAGCCCTGTCCTTTGAACCTGAGAAGGGAGTGTTGCAGGGTGCCGGTTTGTGAGAATGTGCACATGTGTTGTTGTTTGCTTGGAAAGCTGAGGGAAAGAGTTCAAGCACCCAGCCCACAGTAGAATGAGGAATGATGGGTGTGTCACACAGCCCGACCAGGTGAACCAATGGCTGCTGCAAGTTGAGATTGACAAAGAAGCACTTAGAGAGTTCCGAGAGATGCCCAGCTTCATGAGCTTTGCAGGTTCAGAGATACATAAGTGTTGATTGAAATCGATATGCACACGACACTCAATAAGACAAGGATGGATGTATCCGTCTTGTTCAGCTTCATATGGTTTTTGCTCCACCAATGGGTGGCTACAGTGAGTGATCACCGAAAAGCTTCAGAGGGAGAATGGGAGAAAGAGTGAAACTTTGGAGATAGATGCCCAAGCGGAAAACTGCTTCGCTCAAGAGTTAAGTATAGTCAAACACTGACAACAAACAATCCTTTTTTGCTTCCAGCGGAAACGGTTATTTGGTACATGTTGGACACATGTCTATTCGCGGGATGCTTCACATTGATTTGTTCGCACACTAAAAAATATGAAGGAAAGAGCAACACTCTGGATCTTATGTTGGAAACATGTGAAAAGTGAGGACATGTACCCACAAACAAAGTGTGCTGTTCATTTGCTTGTTGTTAACAATAACCAAGCTCAGAGGATCTTGTGTAGCATCCATTTACTAGTTTGCTCGAGTTTGGGCACCCTGTCTTGGCACCTCGGAGGGATCTATGAACGAGTTTCATCGATTAACAGGTCACCATTTGCATACGATCATTTTCTGAAGCGTTTGAGTGCACTAAGCTGACTTCAGACGCTTTGGGGATGGGCTGATTTCGTGAAGCCACGTGTTGAGGATGGTGGAGGAGGATGATCTTGGCTGCGGCTGCCTGAAGCGACGGAGGCCTATGTCAGATGTGCCTGGCCTCGACAGGAAGCACCTTGGCCTTTCCCACGATTCAGTTTTAAGCGAAGACTGATTGGACCAGAAACTTCTTGCTGTGTTCTCGATGTATCCCTTGAGGTTGGCAGCTGAGAAAGACTTGGTGCTTTTCCTGAAAGTCACTCACTTCGCAGCTTGGCAGTCCTAATGGTCCGGCTGCTCTTTGCCGGCAGAGTGAAGGGCCAGAGATTGATTGATTGATGTATAGATTAGTGGCGACTGTCGCAAATAAGCACGAAACAGGTGGCATGTTTCGGAGAATCTTCCACGAGAGTTTAGACGTCTGAAGCGTTCTAGGACATGAAGTCTAGCAAACGAATTTCAGACAGCCCTTTCATTCCATTCTGTCATTTGGAGGACTGAAATTTCATCGATGACAACCATTGTCCAATGACTTCATTCATGTGCCGAGGATTTCAACATTACCACGCACCATCGTATGCTGCGGACAATTTACACAAAGCTGTCGAGAACGAAGGCGCCTTGGCTCTTGCTCAATAGCTATTGTGCAGAAATTGATTACCCTCGTTCTGTCTTCTCCCTCAGCGCGCCTAGCAAACTTTGAATGAGCGGTTTATGGCATGCATGCTACAGTAAAGAGGGAACTTGATATGTTTTCATTGGGATGAATTATGTTATGCAAAGCTGTGCAGTCTTGGGCCAATGTTCTTCGCTTCCCAGGTTTGTCCGAGCATCGGTCGTCACTGGGAAGTGCTTGGCTTCCAGGGTGGCGACCCGCGTACAGATTTAAACCGCTCTGGCGGCTTGCTGAATGTCTTGCAGCATGGCAACAAGCCCATCGGGAATGGTCTTGCAACACCCGAGTCACCCCAGTATGGCGTGGAGGCCCGAGGAATGTTCTTCTAGAAGGGTTACAGCATTCGAGCGCATGATCCGAGTCACGCACTGAACACAAGCTTTCAACAATCGCTTAGGGAAATGGTGAAAGACATTTCATCCATTACTCTTGGCCCAAACGCAAGTCTGGTCCCCTCCTTCGACAAGAATCTGACCTGGATATACTCGGATCCTTTGCAACCATTGCAACGACGGACAGATCGATGAGATGTTTCCAGTCTGAGCCGAGGCAAATGTTCTACTTCTTTTCCCACCACTTCGAGCTTTTAAAGTCTGCCTATTTGCTGGCCCAAGATGTAGAGCAGCGCCTCGAACTGCACAGTGAAAAGCCCAACATCAGAGAACACCGGTGGAAGTACCATTGGTCGTGGATATATATATATATATATATTTGTGTGCTGTGTGTCAAACCCCGTTTCCAGGGGCATTTAGGATTAATTTAGGAGGGGGGTGGTACACGACTGACAGGCACCACCCAACGAAGACGCTGTCAGCTCGTGGTGAAGCAATGTGGGACGCTATGTGCCTGCTTTATGAGAAGATGAATCACACTATATTGTTGTGGGCTCTTTCGCCTTGCTGTTTGCATATTACTGTTGACAGGATCAGGTCGTCTTGCACTAGTCTGGTATTGCGGTCACTAGATTGTAAAGAGTTAATGCATCTCTTGTACCACCCGGAGTTTCAACCTTACGAACGTTTTCTTCAAGTGTGTGTTTGCGTTTGTGTGTGGATGTGGATGTGTGTGTGTGCCCCTTGTAGTCACAGGGATTTTTTTGAATTGTTTTCTTTTGCCATGAGCAGGGGGGCACAGGAGGCCCATAGAGCTGTGCCCAACGAAGCTCTCTATGGTGACCTCAGGATATGCAGCCTGATCAGCTGCACGTACCTGCTGTTTGAAGTTTTGAACAAGCTTTGACTTCAATTTCCAGTAAAGTGCTAATGAGCTTGGCAGACATGAGCGTACGACGTCATCTCGACCTGCTCGTTGCTTTCGGTCTTGAGCTTTTGGCCCTTTCTCCTTTTGAAGACCTCCAGGCTCCATAGGGTTCTCCTGGACTTTTCAGGATTTGGTTTCTTAGGCTGGCTTCAGTTCCGTACACCGAATCATAAGTGTGTCTCTCCTAGTGAGAGCCCGGGATGAGCCCGCAGAGTGCCTCCCGTGGACCCGTCGAACGGGGGTTTGTCGTTATCTCCCCTGCCCGGAGATGTACGTGCCCAGAGCCGGCGGAGTAGGCTTATGCCAAAGTTATTTGCCAAGACTTGCTGGAGTATTGAATTCCAAGCTGGCTCATGCCTTTACGTGACCACAGCGGTCTAAGCAGCCAGCCATTTTGGCACGGCGTACGTGGCCGTAGCGGCCCAAGTCTCATTGGAGTCTGTCGCGACCTTAGCCCCCTTCCTCCTCCCCTCCCCTCCTCTCTCCCCCCTTTTTGTCATCTTGGGTGTTCCTGAATGTAATACTCAGGTTCACCCCTCTCTCTCACTGGTGTGTCCCTGGACGCTTGTGTGTAGCTGGGAACACCTGTCCTCTTCCTTCTCTTTTCCCTCTCTCTCTTTTCTCCTTCCTTTCCTTTCCCTCCTTCTTGTTTGGGTGTCCATGGATGCTTTCGTCATAGCTGGGAACCCTTCTCCTCTCTTTTTGGTGTGTCCTTGGACGCTTGTGTCGTAGCTGGGAACACCTTCTTCCCCCTTTCCTTTCTTCTCTTTCTCTTTCTCTTCTCCCTACCCCTCCCTCCCGTCGGGACCTTAGAGTGGATGCTTCTAGGGGCTCCTGGCCTTACTACTAGGTGCAAGGACGCCACTTTGACGCTACTGGGGGTTCCTGCCCTTTCTCCTTGGCGCAAGGACGCTCTACGGCAGAGATGCCTCCCCTTGGGGAGGCGTGTGTGTGTGTGTGTGCCCCTTGTAGTCACAGGGATTCTTTTGAATTGTTTTCTTTTACCATGAGCAGGGGGGCGCAGGAGGCCCATAGAGCTGTGCCCAACGAAGCTCTCTATGGTGACCTCAGGATATGCAGCCTGATCAGCTACACGTACCTGCTGTTTGAACTTTTGAACTAGCTTTGACTCCAATTTCCAGTAAAGTGCTAATGAGCTTGGCAGACATGAGCGCACGACGTCATCTCGACCTGCTCGTCGCTTTCGGTCTTGAGCTTTTGGCCCTTTCTCCTTTTGAAGGCCTCCAGGCTCCATAGGGGTCTCCTGGACTTTTCAGGACTTGGGTTCTTAGGCTGGCATTCAGTTCCGTACACCCAATCATAAGTGTGTGTGATGCATAGTGTCCAAGCTTCTTTTTTCCGGAAAGCAGCTAGGGAATTTGGGCCCTTTGGAGAAGCCCAAAAGCAGACGCACGCTCACGTGTTTGTCCTCCACCCACAGATCATTGTGTTTGGGCCAAGAGTCCACGAGTTGAGACCCGAGGAACTACCCTCTGGCTTGTGTCTCCATCAACATCACAAAGATGGTTATCGAGGCTTTGCTTGCAGGGCCACTTGGCGGATGCAACATTGACATTCATGCAAGACTTCCTGTGAGTCTGAGCCTGTTTGCCTCGCTTCAGAATGCGGGGTATGAGAATGTATGACCATGTGGGTTGAATGTGTATTTTGATTCGATGTATTTTGATGTATTTTGGCTATTTTGGCTATCACTGCCTCCGCTTGAAACATTCCCGCGCGCATGAGTTGTCGAGTATTGATTGTCCCAACACACTAGGGCGTGCAGTAGTTGTTTTGGACAAGTGTAGGTGAGTAGACCAGATTGGATTCCAACTTGTCGGTCTTAGTTGGTGCAGTTGGTCAACTCAATTCGAACATCTATAACGGAGGTGCCTTGTTTGCTTCCGTGCTTTCCCATTTGACATCATCTACTTTATATCAAACAACCAGAGGATGCATGGGATGGAGAACCTTAGACATGTACAACCAAGAGAACCAAACAACTGCAGAATGGTTAGGAGGTAGTCACAGATCAGATCATGTCATCTATCGAGAGGAACCCCGTCAAGGCGTATAGAAACCATCCAAGACGCACTCAAGTTATTCCCCTTCTTTTGCCTCAAGCGGAACCCTGCTATAGATGTACTGGAGATTCAACAATGTTGGTCCTTGAAATATTTGGTGACAACTTCAACACAACTTCATCAGGGGAACCCGCCACTTCCCATCAACCCCAGATGCAGAGAAGGAAACCATGGTCTGGCCGAGTACAGAAAGGTCTCCCCTGAACAGCTGTATCAGCTCAACCTTCGCTGAAGTGCGTGCGTGTTGCTGTCAGGAAATTGTCGAGGCTTTGCAACAAGACCAACAGCAAAGGCGTATTTGAGCTTTGGCTGCATGATTTGCAAACATATGTTGAGGCCTGCACAAGCATTCAAGCGTTACCCGTGTTGCTGTTGATCTTGCTGCTGTTGCTGTTGCCTTTGTTGTCGTCGTTGTCATTGTGATTGTCGCTGCTGTTGCCACCGCTCCTGTTGCTGTTGGTGTGGTTGTCGTTGCTGTCACTATCGGTCAGTGCTGCCTTGCCGGGCTATTCTTGTCGTTGCGAGCACAGGACACCACTTGCAGAATGCACAGTGCTGCATTGTACCATTGGTATTGGCGATGGCGGACACAGAAGCGCAAGATCGAACACACGGAGTTGACCTTCAACGAGGCGCAAGCCCATCGACCCAGAGAAATCCGGTCGAGGGCTCGTGGCCGGCCAGGTGCGTGCACTGCTTTTCCGGCGCCCGGACAAACTGCTTGAGATGTTGCTTGGCATCCAAGAGCGACGTTCCATTGAAAGCGCCAACTTTGGTTGAACCCCGATGACATATGATCAACACTTTGCGAAACAATAATGCAGCTTTTGCTGCAGAGTTGACTTTCTGTTCAGAGGTGGTTAGGTCAATGCCTCAGGAAATCTCGGATAAAAGGTCCAATCGGTTACAGTATATACAGTGAACAACGTGGCACTCGCCGCCAGGTTGGAGCAGGGTCTTGCAGAATGCAAGGCAAGATCTGATCCTTCTCGACTCGACTCTTGCACGATGCTTCATGAATTGATATTCATTGTATCGCTCCTCCCACAAGACATTCTGCAGGTAAATATCAGGACAAGCTGCCTGCATTTGCAAGTCTGGAACCTTTTCCGTATGTGCTCCTGAAACCTTTTACAGCCACTTGAAACTTCCGTCCAGGAGCAAGAACTTTGGATCCGGATGTGGTGTTTTCTCAGTTTCCTTCATAACACTCACCCTGCAGCCCCACTGAGGAGTTCACGGACCTCGACTTTGGTGCGGCGCGGCCCAAAGCAAAGGCCACCACGTCCTTACCAACAAGGCTCTGGCAGTATCAAGCCAAGGACGCCTGGCCAAAAAGTCATTCTCTTGGTTCTTGCTTTCCTGAATCACTAGACCCCTTGCCTTTCGGCATTGCAGGCATTGTAGGTGACGACGCGACCATCAGGTTTTGGGTGGCCCAGCCTTTGGGCATGTCCGCTCTTCCATCGGCATCTTAGGAATAGGAACGCAGAGGGAGTTGCAATGAGCCCGTGAGATGGCGCAGGCTACCCTATGTGCTTTTGACCTTGCAAGCTGCAAAGGTCCTCAGACATGCTTCCGCTTTTCCCTTAGAGAACTCTGGATGAGATCAACTGTTCTAGTGAATGAGTGCTGAGTACTGTATCAATTTGTACTTCGACATACATCATACCCACATGAAGAGGTGACCTCATCACACATGCTGTATATAGAACTTTTGAGCCTCGAACAGGGCCTGAGTTTCACTCTTTGAATGATGTCTCACCTTAGAACATAGAAAAAAACGTGAACCCACTATATACACCTGGCATTGGATCAAGAGCACCTACGCTTAGGGCTAGATCATCTAGAACACAGTCTAGTCATATCAAGCAGGCACTTGTTGAGTTATCTCTCCAAAATACTTCACTGGGGTCGTTCGAAGACGTTATGGAAGTTTTATGTCGCATTCAACCCCGCTTGACTTCTCCATTTGTGCTGCCTTGCAGGGCCAAAACATGACTTCTAGACAGCACCACGAAACTCACGCTGTAGGCAAAGTCCCGCGTGGGAGTTCCTTGCGACCTGATTTCGGCAAGGTGCGGCATGGACCAGCCATATTGTTAAGTCTGACACATTTGCGCAGATTTTCATTGCCTTGTATGATCTGTAAATTCTCAAACTTTCACAGCAGGTTTCCGTTTTTGCGAGTATGCAGAGGCCTGAAGGTTTCTTGAGTTTTGAGGCCTTGAAAGAAGATACAACTAGAGGGATGCAACTGACAGGTCCACAAGGGTGTTTACTGAACTCTAGCATAAAGCAAGGTCCGTGCTCAAAGCATTCGCAACACCTTGATGTTGCTGAGAAGAGCTTGAGCCCTACCCGCAGTGGACCTAGGGTCTCTGCACACCGTTGGCCGGGTGTGGGGCGCGTGGTGCGGGGCCGGCAATGCCTGGGCCCTCCTGGTTGGTGCTTGCCATGGCCATTGGGAGATTGAGGCCAACCCACCAGTGGTGGATGACAATGAGACGATGCGCTAACGTGCTCATTGGTCTCCCAATCCGTGGGGTTCCCGCCATGCGAGCAGGGGAGGCCGACTTGGACAGGATGTATTTGATGTGATGGCCTTGAACGTTCCACAATGGTCCGTCCAAACTTGTTGGCCCAAAACAGGGTGGATGTGTAGCTTTGACTTGCTACTTCGCCGGCCACGGTGGTGCGACAGGCTAACTGCAGACAGAGTGAGGTCAAAACCAATTTCTAATTACTACTAGCTTCTTGTTACCTACTAGTAAGGTACTTGTTACTAGAAGCGATGCACTTGTTACTACTAGCTTCTTGTTACTACTAGTAAGGCACTTGCTACTAGAAGCGATGCACTTGTTCCTAGTAGCTTCTTGTTTCGCAAGGCCATCGTGATTTGATTCACAGGCCATCCATCAACCTCCGACACGTGTTGACAGGATATTTTCAGCGATTCTGAGGAGGCTGGCAGCGCAAGGCTCAAGGTGCTCGCAGTTTAAAAAGCTTTGGCCCAGTTTGGCTGCTACTAGTACTTGGAAGTTTTGGTGGTGCATTGCGACACACATACTGCGCACTTGAAGCTCCTAGCGGCCGAAGCCAGGGCGTGTTTATTCAGTTTCATCACCGGTAGAACCGGACCACTTCACAACAGGCCAGGTAGTCAAACACCTCAGCAGTTAAAACACGTAACTCTTCACTACCAGGGGACACATGCGGTTTCGCCGGACAAAACGTACCACTTCACCAGCATAGGCTCCGCACAAACAACGGTCCACTTCACCAGTCGAGACATAGCCATGGTGTCCAGACTACACTGGCACTAGAAATCTCTATATTAGATAATTGTCTCTAACATCCCCAGTTTTGGATCTTTGGGCAGCCCTGATCAACAAGATGTTCTGAACTTTCATTCCATTCCTCATGGAACGATTCTAACCCTCTGCTCACAATGTCGTCAGAATATTCGGTTTCATGTTCGCATGGAACTCCCACCCCCTGCCACCCGACAATGATAGCTGAGTTTTCCGATTCCATTCCACCGGACTGCCTGGCAGACTCTGACTCTCTATCAACCTTCCGCAGCCTTGACGATGCCTTGCTCAAAAGGAAGTATGTATATATATATATATATGTATCTATGTATATATATATATGTAGACGTGCCATGCCAGCAGATAGTGTGCAAGATAGTTTGTTCACTACTCACATAGGCCATCTCAACTTCAATCTTTTGGTCCAGCATTTGGACCAAATGGGCCTTCCACACGAGATGCTTCTGGCGTCAGAAACCTTCTTTTTCAGCCTAAACCATAGCCATATGACTGGGGCCTCAAACTGCCGTGAACATCTCTGTGGCCTTTGGATCAAGCCGAAGCCCCGGAGCGCCCGGGCGCTGCCGCTCCAACGCCGCTCAGCCCGTGGCGTTCCGCGGAACGCGGGGAGCGCGAGGAACCGATGCTTGGAGCGTCCGCACGACGCGTCCGCCATTCTTGTTGTGTCTACTAGTAATGCCCTTAGCTACTAGTAATGCACCTTGTTACTAGTAGCTTCTTGTTGCTAGTGACTGTGCTTTTATTTTGTGTTTTGATCAAGCGGAAGATTTCACAGAACTCCAGATACTGGATTGAAGAAAGGCACAATCATGTGCTGCATGACTGCATGACTCTATGAGTATCTTCAGGTTGCAGAGAGTCTGATACCAAAAGGATCCAAAAGGTATGGAGCACTTTCCAGCTGCTTATTTACGGTGGCAAGAAGCTTTGGACGGACATCATACGTGGATGTAGCAGTTCGTCAGAATCTCTCCCAGCTCTTACTCCAAGGACAGGGCGACAGCTCTGCAGCTGTGCGACTGTGCGAGCATGGCGATTGGACTCGTACACCTCTTTGAGGCCGGGATTATCATGGCCATTGGCCAGCGGCGCTACCGAGGTGTTGTGGTATTGTCCTCCCACAGCCCACAGCGATGAGTTGCGTTGGCTTTGTTTGCGAGTAGAATGGACATTCGCAATACCAAGTCTCGGCAATTGTTGGCAACATGATTACTGTACTTGAAGCCAGTTTTGTTTGCGTATTCAGTGTTTGGAGTTTTCCTTCCACTTTCGAGAGAGCTAGAACATGTACTGTATATATATATATATATATACACCAACGGGAGTTGCAAACTTTAGCACATTGTTGTGTGGCTATGATAGAACCGACGGTTTAACTTCTCTGTCATAAATATATATTGTGAACAGGCCCTCCGTTAGTTGCCTCAACAATAGGCTGGATTACTTCTGATGAATGCAGCCGCCATCTTGAATGAGAAGAGATTTTTGTGGGGCCCTCAGGGGTTATCAAAAGGAGATGTGCTGAAGGACTAGACATCTTACCAGATGTTCGTTTGACCTCTGTTGCTCCGACACGTTCTGCTCTGTAAGTGTGAGACCACACAAAGCTGCGGCGCAAATGAATGAAGCTGGTGAAAACAATGAAGACATATGAAGACAGCGTCACTTGAGAGCCACACATGTATTTATATAAGTATCACAGTTTGCATCATTGGGTTGGCTGCAGAGATTTAACGTTCGACTGCCACTACTCGTCGTTTTCCGCCTTCCATATTGTCATGTTGCGAAGAGCCGTACTGGTGTTGTTTCCTGGCATTGGGTTCTGGACAGATAGCCAGTCAGGCAAGCATGTGTCGTTTGCCAAAGTTGAGAGATGTGCAATCGAATTCCAAGACCTGGCAATCTCAATTCAACAGAATGGCCACAAACAGCCGTCGGCACGCACAAAGAGAGAGAGAGAGAGACGACTGGATGCGGTTCAATCGTTGTGCGCCTCGGTGTAGGCGAAAATACGGCTTGGACAGCGCCGTGGTGGGCGAGAACTTGGGGCCCAAGAATCAGGTGGGAGTGAGGGTGGGCCTGGCGAACTCGGCCCGTGGACGGCCCGGGCTGGGCACGAGTTGAGAGGAGTCTCGATCGAAAAAAGTGATGTGTGATGTCAATCGTGAATCGTGACGTTTGGGTTTGATTTGAAAGACGAGTTGATTGGATTTGGCAGGATGGTCTTTGTATACTGCTAGTACCGCTTTCAATGAGAGGTTTGTCCAAGTTGAGGGCTCAAGCTTTCTGATCGATCTAGGCATAATATCACCCAGTCATGATGTTGATTTAGGCACGCTCTGCTTGATGCGATAAACTGCAAAAGCAACCTTGCTGATGTTCAATTCTGCAACTTTGCCTTCTTCCAGCGACAGAAGAAGTTCGATTGCTTTTAGCGTAATTAGCTATTTGCAGCCTGCAGCATTTGTCCGTTGAACACGGCTATTTTGCTACCTAGCGAGGATCTGAATGCAAAGATTCCCTCAGAGCAGGTGTATTGGAAAGTATATCTTGGTCACATGTGCTCAGGTCGCAAGCTTTCTGCATGCGATGCGAACCTTTATGCGATATCCCTTGGTGGCCATGAATGTTTTGGTAACTTGATCTAAATTTGCAGACGCACAAGGGAGCTTCTGCTCCATTTTGTACAGCATTCTAATTGGGCCTTTCAAGTGTGATCGGCAAACGGCAGCTCAGGTGATCATCTATGAGATGATACTTGGGTGACTAAGCTTGAAGCATCCAGCCTTTTTATTTGGGCTGACTAAAACCCTTAACTGCTGCTTTGACAACTTTCGCTGCGACAGCTTTTTCTTCAAACTCCATTTGCTCAGGTAACACTGGCCGGGACTGACGTCCCGCAAAGGCCAGTGCTTGCTTCCTGAATCTAAGGGAACCCAGCTGCAGAGCAACCGATGCTCCAAAGATCAGCGAAATTGGTGACTTTTCGCTTGGAACCACCAGCCGACCCCAGTTCTGTGCATACGGGGAAATCCCCAATGAGCTGGCAAGCACCCCCAGCTAGTGAGCTCGCACCGGAGTTTTCAAACTCCCGAAGCTGGCCTTGGTTGGAGTAAATGCCAATGTAGGGAGCTTCTTGAGTTGCTTAAAGTTGCTTACATCAGTCATATAAGGATAAGCTTGGCATAAAACATCTCTCTAATATTGAGCATAGAAGATTGGCTCCAACCAGGTCTCCAGATGTCAGCGCACAGATGGACCAAAAGCACCGACAAAGATTTTGAAGCACCGACAAAGATATGATGATAAGAACAGGCACACGGCATAATAAGACAAACCTTTTTCTATCCTTTTATACTGTATCCTTTTCTCATCTCGTTTTCAGCCAATGGAAAGCATGACTTAGGTAGAGTTGGCAAGATTTGCAAGTTTCCAGAACTATGCTGCATACATAACTATACTACATACTGCACAGCCACTGGCAGCCACTAGACACAGACTTGTTGGTTTCCTGCAGACCCAGCTCGCTATTTCCGTTGGATTCTTTTTTGCATCCTCAGCAGCATCAGGGAGAGGTCAGCTGGAGTTTTCTATTCTCAGGGTTCCAGTCTGTTCTAGATAAGACGCTACCTGGGTTGCTCGCCCACCACCATCCTGCCTGAAATGCAGCCCCTCATCTCCGCAAAGACGCAACCACCCCATGAAAGGCCCTGCTTTCTCTTTGTCACACGTCAGCCGCTTCGGGCTCTTAGCATGCAGTGTTCAAACTAGAAACCATTCAACAAGGCTTCTCAGACTGTGGTATATCAACTATCCAAACTGCAGGAATGATAGATCCGAAAAGCAAGAACACGCATGTGCATGATGTCTCTCTTTTTTTGCGCAACATCAGAACCGTTTTCTTCAACGGACACCAAGAACACGGCAACTGCCGGCCTTCAGCCATTTCCATTGGATTGGATGGTAAATGAGTGTGAAGGACCCGAACCCGAGCGTGCCAGCTGCTGAGTCCCTCTTTCCGAAGCAACAGTACTGACAACATGTGTTATCAAGTACTGCTTTATAGGTCCTGCAACAAGTCAATCAGCAAGTTCTTTTCTGGCCATAGTTGCAACTTCTAAAGCCTTGTTGCAGGTTTTCCATCCATTTGGCCTCTCCTCTTTGGTCTTGGATGCTTTTTTGGGAGTCACTCTGCCCTTCTAGGTGGACGGGACAATGACTCAAATTGCCTGTTGACAGCATAAACCCACTAACTAATTCGTGAAGACACGTGAAACTATCAAGTCCGTACATACTCACCTTTGAAGACACAAAGCATCATACGCAGGCATTCCGAGCCCTGTTTTCTGGTCATGTCACTTCACAGGTTTCGTTACGGAACGTCACCATCACCTCCCAGGCACGCACGGAAGAGCATGTGCCGCTGGCCTGGTCACCAGGCATCGAAAAGCCATTGCAAGAGATCGAGGCAGAGCTGTGGAGCTTCACAAACGAGCAGCGTGGACTTTTCCCAAAACGGAACAGCCCGAACTGCGTGGAGATTCCTACACACTAACAGCCCAGAAGTCCTTGCTCAGTTCTTGAAAGCATGAGACGTTTGAGATTGGATGGTTGCACCACCTGAAGTGTCTTGCAGTCCACACAGACGGTTCCAGTCCTGGACTTGTGACCAGGTGCTGCTGCTTCTCGATGAGTTCTTGTGCGCCGTGGGTTCTGGGGAGGGCTCGATCAAGCTGTATATACGATGCATTCCGATGCATTACATTCATGGGACAGAAAACGACAGTGGATGAGTCATTCTTCGTTTTTTCGTGTTTTGTGGGTCTAGTGGATGCGCCGAATTTGTTCAAGACTGTCAGCTCGCTTGGGGTGGTCCTTTCTGCGGTGTACGATGATTGTTGGCTTTGAGCAAAGTTGGAAGCACATAAAGCGCGCCACCCTGGAGGTACCGGGGTGAGGTTGCAAGCCTCAGGATATTTTTTTCAATTTTTTCCGAAGAAATTTATCAAAGCCAAGTTTTCTCCCAAAGGGGGTGCTGCGGGTTCCGTTAAGAATGGGACAACAGGATTCCGCTGTTTGAGTGGCAAACAAATGGCCATCCACTTCTGAGGTTCATGACCTGACAATAGCGCTCGGAGCTTGGAGGATGTTAGGAGTTTATCCAATCGAAGGACTTTGGCACATTATTCTAAAGTATCGCAGCAATCTTCTCCAACTCTTTTTCCGTTGCAAGTGAGTTGTTAAGAATGGTGTTCAGTGTTAACGATACGACGAGATGATGCCGATGCGCGAGTGTTTTCAGAGATCCTTGGACATTTGGTCATCAAAGTTAATGCGGCAGACCGTTCATGATCCATAAATGATCGTGTTGACTAAGTGCACTTTCATGGAACAGTCTGACTGTCAATATAGTTATAGAAAGAGAGGCCCTTCTTTCCACAATAAGACACTGACATGGTAGAAAAGAATTGCTTGAAAGCTGTCCCACAATCAAGAACTGCGATCGCTTTTTCAGCCATGGGGCAAGCCATTGTGACATATCGCTTCTACATGTACGGGCGGAAGCACTTTACCCAAACGGGATGGCAAGCCCATTCGGCGACCTATGGGCGTGGACAAGATCTTCAATCAAAGAATTTGCGTGGGCGGGTTCATGTTGTGACAGGTGCGAACTCAGGAATCGGTCGGGAGGTATGCGAGTATTTGGTTCGCCAGGGTGGCCGTGTCTACATGGTTTGCCGAAATGCTGATAGAGGGAAGAAAGCTAGAGAAGAAATCGTGGAAAAAGCAGGTAACGACGATGTGCACTTGATGGTGGCGGATTGTGGCTTAGCAGCTGACATTCGTCGAATTGCAGCTGAATTGAAAGAAAAGGAAGCGGAGGGCATCAGCTGCTTGGTGTGTAATGCAGGTGCCATGACTCCAAAAAGAACTCTCACGTCCAAAGCTCAGTCACTTCGCTGGGTCTCATTGGCAGCATCTCCAGAGTCTCGCTTCCAGGTTGGAGGCCATTGCTTCTAGGTTGGAGGCCTCGCTATTAGTTTAGGCCATCGCTTCTAGGTTGGA